GACCAATTCATCCAATAAAGGTTCAAACAAGCATGGCGAAAATGCATATGGTAAACAGATCTCAGACGTGAAATTAACACTTGTCTGGAATTTCAGATCAGATAGCACTCTTCGGAGCAACAAAACTATATGCTACAGGACCTGAACATGGCAAAGTAAAGCATGGCATGGAGCTACTCAAAGAGCTTAACAAAAGTCCCTTAGTGACCTTGAGCCAAAAGGGATCAGAAAATACAATTGCAAGCATGTGAACATGGCAAAAACATAATCAGTTCTCAGACTTAGTGAAAACTGGAACATGCTGAAACAGATATCAAGTAGGCATGTTTACGAGCTCGATGCACTCACTACAGAGCAAGTCATGGTAATCTAAGCATACACCCATCAAGAATACACAAAACGCAAGCTAGACATGGCAATAACAATAACATAGCATGCACGGATCAACTACAACATCATCGGCAAAATCGCTAACAAGTAGACAACCTGCCCAGATCACGAAATGACAAAAGTAGAGCTCGATTGACTCAATCTAGGGTGCTCCATAATTGCAAAAAAAGACATGGATGGATAGAGCACTACAAGATTAACAAAACATCCTTACTGATCATCCTCAAAAGAGGCACGGATCACTAGAAAACAACATGAACATATGGCCATATGAGATAAACAACTCAAGGACTTAGTGGAAATGCTAAGTCCCTGAAATCAGCATTACCAAGTGCCTTACTTTTCAAGCTTATACTAGTCACCACACACATCACAAAAATACATGGGTTGCACCTATGGAAAGATGGCAAAACCCTCAACAAAACACACGTAGAGCTCATGGGCATATCATGCACACAATAATCATGGAAAAAATGACAAATATCTAAATGGAGCAGCAGATCTGACAATTATCTCAAGTAGCACTCTTCTAATAGCATTTCAGACATCAAGATGAACTCAAATGAAAATGATGCAATGAGACGAAATGATGTACTCTCTGAGATGAACATTTTGATATGCTATATGTGCAAAACGGAGCTACGGATGCAAAGTTATAGCACGACGAACAGGGCAAAATAAACTGCAGACTTAGGCAAAAAAAAAGGTCAACCCTAGGGTTTGAATTCCAGATCTGAGATCCAGGGCACGTTTCCCGAGGTCCGCCGGAATCACTGTTCATCGGAGGGAGGAAGCTCGCCGGAGGTCGGAGTTGAGGAAGGAGAGGCCGGATCCGGTGGTGGAGCTCGCCGGGGCGGCGCGGGCCGGCGATGGCCGGGGTTGGCGTGGGCGGCTTCCGGTGATGAGCGGGCGCACCGGCATCGAGGCGGCGGGGCAGAGCAGGTGGCCGGCGCCGGGGCGAAGGGCGGCGAGGAGCGGCCCGGTCGGGCGGAGGAACAAGTAGCCGGGCGGCGAGACGGCGGATGGGCCTCGGGGGCCCGGCTCGGGCCTCCCGGGCCGGCGGCGGAGGAAGGCGGCGATGCCCATGTGGCAGGCGTGGATAGGGCGCGGGCGGCGGCGGATCGGGCGGACAATGTCCGTCGGCTGGGGTTTTTGTCCGGCGGCGGCAGACGAAGATGGATCTAGGGTTTGGGAGAGGGGATCCGCGAATTTAGAGGAGGGGGTCTAAATATAGGTATAGGAGGAGCTAGGAGAGTCCAAATGAGGTGCGATTTTCGGCCACGCGATCGTGATTGAACGCTCTAGATGATGGAGAGGATTTTGGTGGGTTTTGGGCCAAATTGGAGGGGTGTTGGGCTGCAACACACACGAAGCCTTTTCGGTCCCTCGGTTAACCGTTGGAGTATCAAACGGAGTCCAAATGATACGAAACTTGATAGGCGGTCTACCGGTAGTAAACCAAGGCCGCTTGGCAAGTCTCGGTCCAATCCGGAAATGTTTAATCCCCACACACGAAAGAAAGGTAGAAATGACCCCCGGAGGAGAACGAAGCGCCGGAATGCAAAACGGACAACGGGGAAAATGCTTGAATGCATGAGGTGAACACGTATGCAAATGCAATGCACATGATGACATGATATGAGATACATGACAACGAGAACAACACACGGCGACAAAAACCCGAACCCGAGAAAATAAAATAACTTAAGGCCGGAAACGGCAAGAGTTGGAGTACATATTGGGTAAATCATATCCGGGGTGTTACAGTGAGCTTCAAAATTTTCACAGAGGTTGGAACTAATAGATTGACACAAATTGCCCATTCGGTGATCCAACCAAGCCAGACAGCGTTCATGTCGGGCGACACATACTGGAAGGGGTGGTCGTGCTGCATGAAACGCTTCACGAGACCCACTCGAAGAAACTGGATGGGGTTATCTTCAAAGTGGATTTTGAGAAGGCGTATGATAAAGTAAAGTGGCCTTTCCTGCAGCAGGCAATGCGCATGAAGGGTTTTAGTGAAGCTTGGAGCAACCAAGTGGATACCCAAGTCCAGGAGGGTAGTGTCGGAATCAAGGTGAACGATGATATCAGTCACTATTTTCAGACGCATAACGGGTTGAGACAAGGGGATTCCATGTCTTCTCTTGTGTTCAATATTGTGGCAGATATGTTGGCCGTCATTATTGGCAGAGCCAAGCAGCATGGTCATGTAGAGGGTTTGGTTCCTCATCTAGTCGATGGAGGAGTTTCCCTTCTACAATATGCTGATGACCCTGTCATTATTCATGGAACATGACTTGGCAAAGGCCCGTAATATGAAACTTCTCTTATGCCTTTTCGAACAATTGTCTGGCTTAAAAATAAACTTTCATAAGAGCGAGTTGTTCTGCTTTGGGGAGGCCAAAGACGAGGAACAGACTTACAGACAATTGTTCGGATGTGAATTAGGTGCTTTACCCTTCAGTTACTTGGGTATTCCGATCCATCACCATAAACTATCCAATAAAGAATGGAGGTGTCTTGAAGAACGAATTGAAAAAAAACGTGACTGCTGGAAGGGCAAGCTCATGTCGTGTGGAGGTCGGCTAGTTCTGATTAACTCAGTACTGACTAGTATGCCGATGTTCTTACTCTCGTTCTTCAAAATTCCAAAAGGGGTTCGGAAGCGACTTGATTTCTTTAGATCTCGTTTCTTTTGGCAGTCTGATGAGGCCAAGAGGAAATACCGTCTTGCGAGATGGGACATCCTTTGCCGACCTAAAGACCAAGGAGGTCTCGGTATTGAGAACTTCGAAATTAAGAATAAGTGTCTTATGAGTAAGTGGTTATACAGGCTAGAGCATGAGCCGGAGGATATGTGGTCACAAATCCTGCGTAATAAGTATTTGCACTCCAAGACACTAGCTCAGGTTACCATGCGACCGACTGACTCGCCATTCTGGAAGGGACTTATGAGAACGAAGGATTTGTTATTTCGTAGGGTTAAATTCTTGATGGGCAATGGGATGTCAACAAGATTTTGGGAGGACACATGGTTAGGAGAGACGCCCTTGGCCATTCAATACCCCACCCTATATAATATCGTGCAACGTAAGGAGGATTACGTAGGCACGGTATTTCAAACTATTCCCTTGAACATCCAGTTCAGACTGGTGTTAGTTGGTGAAAGATGGACCGCCTGGATGCATTTGGTTCGAAGACTGATAGATGTTCAACTCTCCGATCAACCGGATGCGTCACAATGGAAATTAACTAAGAATGGGGTTTTTACGGTAAAATCTTTCTATATGTATTTGATTAATTCTGGCCCACTCTCAAGGTCGTTGCATATTTGGAAGATCAAGGTTTCTTTGCGTATTAAAATTTTTATGTGGTTTGTCCACAAACAAGTGATACTCACAAAGGACAACTTAATTAAAAGGCGATGGGTAGGAAGTTCACGATGTTGTTTTTGTGATCACGATGAAACAATACAACACTTATTTATTGATTGCCCACTTGCCAAGTTACTTTGGAGAATGATTCATATAGCCTTCAACATTAGTCCTTCAGTTGATACTGCGTCTTTGTTTGGGACGTGGTTAGCTGGAGTTGAGCTAATTACTGCGGCCCGTATTCGGATTGGTATATGTGCACTATTATGGGCTATATGAAACTGCAGGAATGATATGATTTTTAACAAACAACACAATTTAACTTTCTTGCAGGTTATCTTCAGGGCTACAGCTTGGATCCATACGTGGTCCTTACTCACTCCTATGGACTCCAGGGAGCCTTTGTTTACTGGGTGCAACCAATGGGAGATGGTAGCTCGGGCTATATTCAACCGGTTCGGATGACGCTCGTACAATAGGATAGGAGTCTAGGGAGCTTATCCTTCCTATTACCGTATCCGTTGATCTTGTCAGCATGTAATTTCCCTTTTTGTTTACTTTATTTTCTGCTCCGTTAAGATGTAAGACCTTTTTGACTGTACTTTCTGGATTTTTAATAATATGGCTGCATGCATCTTTATGATGCAGAGGCCGGTGGCAATGCCTCCATTTCCAAAAAAAGATGCGGCGGCCGCCAACAAGGAAAAGGATCCAAGGGAAATCCGACGAATCTGTTGAGGCGACGGCGGCGGTGTTTCATCTCGATTCTGACAACGGCCGGCGAAGGGCTCATACCGGGAAGAAGGGCGACGAGGGCCAAGGGAGGCGGCGGGGGTGGTGGACGGTCGTGAGGAGGTGCACCGGCGACAAAGCAGTGGGGGTGGGGAGGTGGTAGAGAGGACGCAAAGTTTACTCCGTGCAGTCGAGGCAAGTGTTTTTAGGAGGCGGAGTAAATATTTTACTCCACTATAAAGTTTAGGAGTTTAGATAGGTGTCGATTAAAAGAGTAAAATAAATTTTGTACTTCTATAGCCTTTTAGGAGATGGGCTAGAGATGCTCTTACACTTCTCAATTTACTCTGTTCCTATCTACGTAGCAAGTATTGCTACAAGCTAAACGCCACTTGTAAGCTAGTACTAAGTATACATCTTCACGATCCTCGGCAGGTCCCGTAAGCAGACAATCTTCTTCACTTGAACGCCCTCTGTCGGATTGGGGCACAGGTACAAGAATCACACGACCTGGAGGCTGGGCTCGGCGGGCTTGTCGCCGGCCTCCTCCTCCATCGACGCGAGCCACTGGAGCAGCGCCGCGTTGAACTGCTCCGGCGCCTCGTCGTGCGGGCAGTGGCCGGCCTGGAGGTTGACGACGGTGGAGTTGGCGTAGAACTCGTGGATCCTTGCCGCCTTGGACGGGCCGACCCACGGGTCCAGGTCCCCCCACAGCAGCAGCAGCGGGCACGTCAGCTTCCCCAGCAGCTTGTCCAGCGTGTACTGGCTCTGCTGGTTCGCCACGAACCGCGACATGAGCCTGTAGTACACCTCGCCGGCGTTCGGGTCGGCCGTCGGCGCCGTGATCGAGCTGATCAGGTACTCGTCCACGTTGCTCGGGTCTTTGTACACCTGCACGCATTGCAACAAATGAAGAATCGATGAGAACTCTGTCCGTCGATCAGAATCAGGTAGCTTTCGGCTGAGTTGCCTACGCTTTTGAGGACTTTCTCGACCCTGGCCGGCTGCTTGGCCTGCCAGAAGAGGAACCCGAGCACGACCCGCTGGAAGGCCTCCTTGAGCGGCCTCACGATGAGCCTCGTCACCGCGCTCACCTCCTCCTCCGCTGCCGCCGCCTCTTCAGGCTTGGGCGGCGCGTTGGGGTCCGCAAACTGGCCGGCGGAGTTGAGCAGCACGACGCCCCGGACCAGCTCCGGCACCTCCGTCGCCGCGAACAGCGTCGTGAAGCCACCTAAGCTGAACGCGACCATGCCACATCCGTGTCAGTACGACGTTTGTTGAGAACAATGTGTGTTCCTGAACTCTGAAGAATGGTGTCGAGGACTCAAGGTACCTGTTGCCGACGACGACGGACGGCGACTGGACGACCTCCCGGAGGAAGTCGGAGACCTGCTCCATCCAGATGGTGGCGTCGTACTGCACCAGCGCCTTCTCGCTCCAGCCGAAGCCCAGCAGGTCCACGGCGTACACCTTGTACTTCTTGGCCAGCTCCGGGATGTTGTACCTGACGATCGAGTACAGAACCGTTCAGACAACACCAGCCAATCAGTTCAACCAACAGGCACCTGTCACCCCGCGTTCCCAATAACGGTTTCCCGCCACACAGGCCACGGGGTGGAGATAAGATGGTCGAGCTGCGCCGACGGCTGACCTCCAGTGGAACGCCGACGCGCCGAAGCCGTGGATGAGCACGATGGGCTGGCCGGACCCTTGCTCCACGTAGTGTATCCGGCGGCCCCTCCACGTCCAGAAGCTGTACCCGTCCGCCTTGAACGGCAGCCTCTCCAATGCTGCAAGTAAACGAGATGAAGAACATGGATCTATAGATGTCTCCACTCTGAACTCTGAAGAAACAGTTAAGCTAAGGCTGACCTTGAGCAGCGGCGCCGTTGGAGGAGGAGGTGAGCAGCGAGGAGCAGACGGAGAGCGCGACCCCCTTGGTGACGAGGTCCCTCCTCTGCATCATCAGAAACTTGTTGCCTCCTGCCAACAACCAACCGAAGCACAGGGTGATCACAAAGAGCCCAACCGAATCACCCACGCGTGTCAGAGGAAAGTAGAGAGAAGTAAGTACCAACCGTTGAGGCCGGTTCCGACGCCGGAGCAGCGGCCGGACGACGACCGGAGGGCGGCGGCAGATGCCGAGGCGACGGACATCGGGGTAGAAGCCGCCGTACGTGGCCGAAGGAAGGGTCGTGGAGAAGAAGCAACCTAGGTTGGCCTGAAAAAAGAAGCTGGGTGATTCGTGGTGACGGGCGGAGAGAGTTTTACTTGTAGGTTTGCGCTGGTGTTGGTGTGTGGGTGGCGGGCAATCGGGCAGCCGTGGCAGCGCCCGGGCCAAAAGTTTCAAAGGGAGGGATTGATCGACGCGACGCGCGGCCCACGCCAAGGCTTGCGTCTTCACACCGTGATGGAATTAATATCTCGCCCTCTGATCAGTGTACGTGCAACCAGATCGCCACGTCGAGTGTGGTAGCCCAGCTAATTGATACTCCATTCTGTCTCTAAAAAACGAGTAATTGATACTCCATCCATTTCAAAATATAGTGCGTCCGTGCCTTCCGAGGTTCAACTTAAACCATATATTTAACCAATGAGACCGATTGCGGCGGGAGAAAAAATTATATAATTGAAAACTTCTTTTGAATACGAATTCACTGGTATAACTTTTGCTCCTGTCGCAGTCGGTCTCGTTGGATAATTTATGATCAAAATTGAAGTACAAAAATAGAGGAAGCACTATATTTTGAAAGAGAGGGAGTACTCAAGTTCACACTGAGCAACCCATGTGGCTTCGAAAGGTGCTACTCCATCCCATTCTTTAGTACAACTATAGAGCACGTGAACACCACTTGGCAACTAAACTTTGGAAACAATTGTCATTCTTTAGAGGCCTAGTAAATACGACACTACTACATTAACATAATGTGAATGAAGGCTGGCACATCACGGTTCCCGGTCCGCAATTGCATCTCCTCGGCCACCGCCCCGTCCATCGTCGTTGAATTTCTAGCCCCCGCTCCCCGTCCCATCAATCACGGAACCCCCAAAGAAGATGACAAACCGTGAGGGTTCCCCGTAGTCAGAGTCGTCGGACGACGAGGGCTGCCCTGAGCTCTTCATCAGGCACCACGACTACGATTCTCGGATGCAGTGGATTGGTAGGACTACGAAGATGTGGGTCATAATGAGTGGTATTAAGAAAGTGCCGCCATTGGAGATCATCGAGTTCGAAGGTGCAAGCAAATTCCTTCGTTCAAGTTCTCTTTTGGGTTACGATCGGGGTTTGTGATATGTGCTGTTAATTTGTTGCATGGTTCATTTTGCCTTCTGCAGAGATTGGATCACCCTTAAAATTTTGGGCTGGTGAACTGGATGGGCGGATATACAATCCTTTGCTTGTGTTGTTGAATGTTGAACGTGCTGAAGTTGCATTCACTTCTCCTCTGTTGACGTATAAATGCATAGTCCACCTTCCCCATTAGCTTGAGCTTTGAGTGAACTGGCTAGTGCATGCAGTTCTACATGGTATCGGATCCAAGAGGTCTTGAGATCAAGACCCGCCTGGCGCAATTTAAACGTAAAAAAATTGCAGCCCACTACGCGAGGGGAAGTGTTGAAGTATAAATGCATAGCCCACCTTTCCCCATCAGCTTGAGCTTTAGGGTGAACTAGCTGGTGTGTGTAGTTCTACATTGGCTGGTGCGTGCAGTTCTACACTCTCATGTGTTATCTCATGATCTTCTGTTCTATGACTTCTTATATGTATATGCTACTCCCTCTGATCGGAAAAAGTGTCGCAGATCTGAACTAAGGTTAGTTCAATCTTAGTTCAAAGCCGCCACACTCTTTTTTTGGATCAGAGGGACTACTATTTGCTTGCTATATTTTTATTGAATCTGACAAGTATTTTTTTTGAATAAAAAGATCTGACAAGTTATGTATTCTGTGTTAAGATCTTATCGAGAAAGCATGGTCTCCGGCCAGGTTGGTGCCCCTGGGGTCCAGGTATAGTTCATTTCAGAGATCATATGGACCACCTCTAGAAGTTTTCAACAACAATCCTGCTTTTCATTGTGACCTACTGTTGGGGAACGTAGTAATTTTAAAAAAATTCCCACGCACACACAGGATCATGGAGATGCATAGCAACGAGAGGGGAGAGTGTTGTCTACGTACCCTTGTAGACCGAAAGCGGAAGCGTTATATCAACGCAGTTGATGTAGTCGTACGTCTTCACGATCCGACCGATCCAAGTACCGAAAGCATGACACCTCCAAGTTCTGCACATGTTCGGCTCGGTGACGTCCTCGTCTTCTCGATCCAGCAAGAGGGGCAAAGTAGTAGGTGAGTTCCGGGAGCACAACGGCATGGTGACGGTGTTGGTGAAGAACAATCTCCGCAGGGCTTTGCCTAAGCACTACGAAAACTATCACACAAAAAAATACACTTCCGTGATGATACGTGTTTGTCACAGTAGGTCGCTTTTTTGTCATGCATGTACATCCATGACAAATTTATGACAAAATCAAGATAGTCATACATGTGCTGTCGTAGAAGTGTTCCATGACATTACCAAAATTATCATCACGGAGGTGTCCACTTCCATGACGATAAGTCGCGCGTCACAGAAGTGCTTTCGTCAAGGGTGACCGACACGTGGCATCCACCGTAACGGAACGCCGTTAAGCTATCGGGTCAGGTTTTGGATCCGATAACCCGTTAACAGCCCCGACCAATGGGGATTTTCCACGTGTAAAATCATCATTGGCTGGAGGAAACACGTGTCGGCTCATCGTTGGGACAGATGTCAACCACTCATTGGACGGAAGGCGCCTATGATACGTCGACACGTGGCACGGCCCAACAGAGGCTCATTCCTGTGAAAAGGCCGGCCTGTTTGACTTGGTCAAAAGCTGGCGGGCCGGCCCATGGAAAGCCTGTTAACGGCTTGTTCGAATATAGCCCATTTACAGCCCGCTAACCCAAGGCCCGTTACACCCTATCCGAATTAGGCCCAGTAGCGTCATCTGGGCCATCCAATATGATTCCAGTCCGTTTTCACTTCTGGCCCATGTATGGCCCATGACGTCTTCCGGGCCATATGAGGCCCTATGTAACTCTTGGCCTACTAACGGCCCGTGGTGAAACTGGGCCGTAATGAACAGTGTATCACTTTACACCCATTAACGGCTCGTGGTGAAACTGGCCCGTGATGAACAGTGTATCACTTTATACCCATTAACGGCCTGTTATTCCATTGGGCCGTTTCCAGCCCATGTTATCTTTCGGCCTTCTCAGAGCCCCATTTATTCTTGGGCTCATTTCCAGCATTCGTTTACTTACGGCCCGTTACTGTCATTTTCTGCTTGTGGGCCAAATTCAGCCCGTGGTTACAGTTGGCCCGTTTGTGGTCCGTTAATACGTTGGGCCGATTTCATAGCCTCATCAAACACGGCCTATTAACGATGGCCCGTTATGGTTGGCCCATGAACGGACGATTCCAACTCTAGCCCGTTTACGGCCATAATACGGTCTATTTGGCCCATGTTTGGCCAATCGATTATACGGCCCGTATAAGGCCCATTGATAATACGGCCCGCAGAAGGACCATTGTTTCTACGGCCCGTAGAAGACCCACTATTTCTACGGCCAGTAGGAGGCCCAGTGTCACTACAGTAAATATTAGCCCATGGTTATTGTGGCCTAGTTTTAAAAAATAGGTTATTGCAGCCACTAGCTAACCGCGAAAAAAGAACTGCAATGACTACAAGCAAACAAATAAACAAGACAACAAGGAAATAAATAAGCAAGCAACTAATGCTAGGCTATCACGGCTATTACACATATTACATCCACTGGGCATCAAAGTTCGCCACCAGTGCAAATATAGGGAACAAAGCAGCATATCATATACACTGGTTGTCAAAGTTGGCGACCAGCGCAAATAAACGCCGCAGCAAAACAAATACAGAACTGAAACCACTTCAGAAGATCTCAAGAAACAATATGCTGGGTACCCATAATGCTGGCAAGATGCTTAGCAAGCTTATTAACTTTCTCTTTTTGGCGCTTAAATCCTCCAGCGCTTGCTGTTGCACCAGAAAATATGCATCTGAATTCTGCAGGGACTTCCTCAGTCCTTCAGCTTCCTATCGCAGCACTTCTGATCAATGTCTTTCAACTTGAAGTTGAGACTCAAGAAGACGAACTGATTCAGGCAGCGAGTTCGAAGAGCTTGTGCCAGCAGTAGTGGCCAGTAACTCGAACACTACATCAAGATAGGACTTTTGGGTTCCCTCACTGTCGTCAAGATAGTTTTTATCAGCTTTCTTGGAGACCAACAAGGATGTCTTACTATCTTGAACCTTATCTGCATTGCTTCCTTTACCATTGGATAACGCGGTACTGTTCTCCAATATTTTGTCCGCATTCTAAAAGAGAAACAAGCAGACACATCACATGTTTACCATGTTGTATATGAAACTCATTTTGGTAAATGAGTTCAGTAGTAAAGTGGACAGGATAACAGCATGAAACAAACATATATCTATGTACCATGGTCACTTTATGGTCTATACCATTCTAGTTTTTTTTTGCCAAATCAAGCTAGAGACACAGTTCAAATAATATTTGTTCAAGACAAAGCAGAATAGACAGAATATAAGTGTGGGTAACTATAGAGCAATAACAACACTTGTAATGTGCATGACATGAGAACATAACTGTTTATTCAATTGAAACAGAAATCAACATAGAGCAGGTTACAACAGCAAACCAGTTAAAGAAACAGGTTTAAAACATACCTGTTGCACCATTGGAGTTTCAATTCCATCCTTAAAATTTGAAAATAGTTGGTATGAGTAAATACAGTCATGCAGGAGCAAAGGAGTATGAACCATAGCTACAGAACCTGACCTGAGAACAAATCTTCCTCCTTTAAGCGTTGAGTTGGGATTCGGAGTGGTGGTCCTCGTGCTTTGGGCACTGCAGTTCCCTTACTAACTGCTCGTGTTTGGGTGCTCTGTGGTGGAGACAGTGCTGTGTCAACTGGAACTGGGTTACTATCTGCCAGGGTTGGGGTTAGAAGGGATGTAGCTGGTTCTCTGTCCAACTGGGTAGGGTTCAATCTTCGAGAGTCTGGGTTATGTGTGGTGGATCTAGTCCTTGGGCAAGTACAACCATGGTTCTATCTACATCAACTGGTAGCACTGTCTTTTCTGAAGACCGTGTTGTTACCCCCTTAGATACTGCCATCACACTCTCCAATTCAAATGGCTGATAAACAAGAAAAGTAATTGAAAGTATAGACATTGTATGATAGACAGGTGCAATGGATAGTGGGGAATAAAAGAGGGCATGAAATAATTCATATTTATGTTGTCTAACCAAATAGGATAGCATGACACAATTTCACATATATGATGGCTAACTAAACAGGATAGCATGACAAAATTTCACATTATGATGGCTAACTAAAAAAGATGGAAAGACATAGTTCAAAATATGAGACTATGTAAACAGGATGACATGACATAACTAAATGTGTTTATTAAATAGGTTGGCATGCCATAATTCACATACAATCACGGATAGAATGCCATAATTCAAAATATGATGACTATAAACACTAAACAGGATGAGATGATATAACTATATGATGTCTTTATTAAATGGGTTGCCATGCCATAATTTAGATAGATGATGTGTATGTACTATGTAAACATGATGGCATGATATAATTCAAATATATGATTTATATAATAAGCAAGTAAGCAGATGGCAATCCATATATGATGTAAAAACTAAGCAATGCAAGACAACATGCATGACATGGGTAATATAACCCTACCAAGTTTGAGCATAGACCTCAGTGGGGAAAATAGGACTGGTCATCAGTCTCTGAATCCTCCTCTAAGGAGCTCTCTGTAACCAGCAAGATGTCTGCTTCAGCAGGTAGCATTGTCTGCTCTGAATACCTTGTTTTCACTCCAAATACTTCTATCACCGCTTCAAATGGCTGATGCACAGGAAGAGTAGTTGAATATACAAACGTTGTCGCCAAATGGAACACGTAATACAAAAAAATGATAGCATGATATAATTCACATACATGATGATTGGCTAAACAACATGGCATTGCATAATTCACATATATAATGCCTTTGCAATAAGATAGCATTGTATAATTCACATATATAATGTCTTGCAACAAGATGGCAATGCATAATTCACATATATGGTAATTAGACACTGAACAGGTACCATTCACACAAAGCATGTCTAAACTAATCAAATGACATAGCAATGCGAGACACCATACGCACGATATGAGCAACACAACCCTGCCAAGTTAGAGCATACACCTCGGGGGGAATAGGATTGGTCATCTGTCTCTGAATCCTCCTCTGAGGAGCTATCCGTAACCAGCGAGATATGCGCTTCGTCAGATAGCATAGTCTGCTCTGAAGACCTTGTTTTCACTCCAGAATTTGCCATCACCGTGTCAAATGGCTGATGCACACGAAGAGCAGTTGAATGTAATAACATTGTTGACAAATGTAATATGTAACGAAAAAAAAGGATGGCCTGATATAATTTACATATAAGATGACTGGCTAAGCAGGATGGCATTGCAAAATTCACATATATGATGCCTGGCTAAACAAGATGGCGTTGCATAATTCACATAAATGATGAATAAACTAAACATATGGCATTCACACAAAGGATGTCTAAACTAAGCAGATGACATATTTGATGTATAAAGTAAGCAATGCAAGACACCATATGCATGATATAACCAACATCAGCATGCCAAGTTAGAGCAAAGACCTCAGGGGGTAAATAGGAGTTGTCTTCTCCTTCTGAATCCCCCTCAGAACAGATATCTTCCTCTCGGTTACAATCCGAGATGCGTGGAGGGGGCTGCCTTTGCGCCTACCATGGAGCGACGTCTGCATGAAATTTTATTGCCACACAATGCTCGTCTCTTTTGCTCTACATGTTTAGTTCCATTGTTTACAATAACTGTCATGCATAGGAATAAAACATAGTGAGATTATGTAAGGAGTGCATGCAGAAATCCAGAGTGATGGTAGCAACCTATGGATAGACCCAAAGCCAATAATAGCAGGCAGATAATGGCTTCAGTTAAAAATACAGATAATGGCTTCTTTACTGTTTGTTTCCCACCCAACATGAAACTCATAGTAGACACCGGAGATTAATCAGATAGTAGATAGATACTATTGATAGCGGCCCCGATATGTACCCCACAACCATTTAAAATCTCAAGTTTGACCATTAGTTTGGAGCTGACTCAGAGTCTAATCGGTGAACAGGACGATAAAGTAGCATGTAATATTAAGC